TAAGGACAGTTGTTAGCTGCCATGTGGGTGCTAGGAACTGAACTCGGGTCCTCTACAAGAGCAATCAGTGTTCTTAACCACTGAGCCATCTCTGCAGCCCCAAGTTATTTTTTTTAGAGTACTGAATGAAGTCAATGGGAAAAGGATATCTTCTCAATGGATGTTCTGGGAACAACTGGAAAGCCATTAGGGAAAAAAATGAATGTTGATCTCTTTCTTTATTCACAAAGTTCATTTGAAATACAGCTTATGAACCTAATCTTAGTACTTAAGAACAATCCCAGCACTTGGGAGGCACAGCAGGCAGATCTCTGTAAGATCAAGGCCAGCCTGGTCTCCATAGCAAGTTCTAGGCCAGTTGTGGCTACAGGGAGATCCTGTCTCAAAAACACTCCCCCTGAAAGAACACATAGCTACTAAAACAAAACATAGGACACTATCTCTGCAATGAACAGGAAGGCAAAGATGCCTTGGATGGGATACAGAAAGAAAATATTGATTAAAATATTATCAGAATTTAAAGTTTCTGCTCATCAAAAGACATCATTAAGAGAATAAGTAGACGAGGTACAGATTTAGACTCTTCATAGCTGGCAGCTGACAGGGGAGTTGGAGTTAAGCAATGTGAAGAGTTTTTACAGGGTTAGGATCTATTAATAGCTCAGTTGGTAGAGTACTTATATAACATGCTCAAAGCCCTGGGTTCAGTTCCCAGAACCCCACAAACTGGGCTAGGTTGCACACACCTGCAATCCCAGCATTGACAGAGGCAGATGGCTCAGAAATTCAAGATCATTCTTGGCTGTGTAATGATTTCAAGACCAGCCTACAAGGCTACATGACAAAGAAGACAATACAGAGCTCTTCCAAATCAAAAATGAAAAATATAGGGGCTGGGGGTATAGCACAGTGGTAGAACACTTGTGTAGCATTAGCATTCATGGGGCCCTGGAATCGCTTCCTAGTACAAAAAAAAAAAAGCAAGCAAACTAGTGAGATGGCCCAGGGGGTGAAGGCACAAGCCTACAGCCTGAGTTGGGGGACTCAAAAAACAAAAAAGGGAGAAAATGACCTGGGCCTGGTTGTGAACACCTCTAATCCCAGTACACGGGAGACAGAGGCAAGTGGATCTCAGTGAGTTCAAGGAAAGCCTGGTCTACATAATGAGTTCCAGGACAGCTGGGGCTACAGGGAAACCCTAACTCAAAAAGACAAAATAAAAAGGGGGGAGTAGAGAAAACTGGCTCCTCTGGGCCATGACACATGCATGCACGCAGTATTTGGGGGGCTGGAGAGATGGCTCAGAGGTTAAGAACACTGGTTGCTCTTGCAGAAGACACAGGTTTGAACCCCAGCACCCACATGACAGCTAACAACTGTCCTTAACTCCAGTCCCAGAGGATCTGACAGCCTCTTCTGACCTCTGTGGGCATTGCACGACATGGGTGCACTTACTTACATGCAGGCAATAGACGCATACACATAAAATAAAATAAATAAATAAATAAATAAAAATTTTAAAAATGTATCTTTTATGTCCCTTTGACCAAATTAGTATAGGACATAAAGGACAGTTTTTGCTCCTTGCCCTCCTAGGTCAACTAGTTCCAGGGAACTATGAGCATCTCTCAAAATGTCCTGTAACTGTGGTGAGTCACCTGTCCTCTTGATCAAGGAGGCTGTGGAGACCCCACCAGATGGACTTGAACCCAGTGTCCAGTCTATAAAGAGGAGGGTCAACACAGAGGAATCATTTCCTCCATGCTTCCAAGTGAAGCCAGCCATGGTCAAGCAGGACCTTTGACTTATCTTCACATAGACGGAACTGGTAAAAGAAAGGAGCCAGGGGCTCCTCCCAAGCCCATGTGACCCCTGAGGAACAGATCCCCAAATGGCCTTAAGAGTAAAAATAAATTGGTTTATCTGGGCCAACTGTATGGTCTTAAACATCCAAAAAGGAAAATATAACCAAAGATTAAAGGGGCCAATATAATATTTTTAGAGTCCATATGTTTAGCTAAAGGCTACATAACAAGAAACAATGCCAGATAGGAGATACCTTCTTTTGAGTTGTTGGCCAGGGTGGCCCAAGAGACTCCCAGATAGTAACCCAGCATAGAACTGGG